CACTCACTCAGAGACACTCACAGAGACCCTCCCTCACACACACACACACACACTCACTCACTCACTCACTCACTCACTCACTCACACACACACACAGAGACACTCACAGAGACTCTCCCTCCCTCACACACACACACACACACACACTCACACACACACATACACTCAATGCTTCGTTCCCATTATGTGTCTCATATACCATTCATATTGTGTTTCCACCCTCCATATTCTCACATATTTTATGATCTGACAATGATTCAGGCTCTGATCCCTGTCTTAAAGTGTTTCTAAGTGTCTCTCAGTCCACAGAGAAGCTGTCTTTCAGCCAGGGTCCAAAATGAACACTAAATTAAGATCCAAATGCAAGTGAAAATCATCAATTGGCTGGTAATTTCATTAGGATCTCTAAACTGATCCTGATGATGCTTTGTAAGAATCCTCATCTGAATCTCACTAGTGACATTAATTCAGTTTAAATCAAAGACATATAAAACAATTTGCGAAAGAAAAATGAACCACCCAAATGTAAATATAACAAAAATATATTATTCCAATTTTAAAAAAAGCAAAAAATTATTTTCATTGAGGAATATTCATTATTTGTGCATTTTTTTTCTTTTCTTTTTGCTTGTAAATTCTCCCCATATTAGTTAATTTTGGACCCTGTTCCCAGCATGCGTCAGTCCCTCAAGCCTGTTCATTTATACAGCCACAGATTTATTCAGACTGACCTCTACATGATGCTGAACCTGTTAACCGGAAGTATGAGTTTAAAGGAATAGTTCACCTAAAAAAAATGTTAATTCACTTTATTTAAAATTTTATTTAAAATTTAGATTTAAAAAGTCTAAAATGTTATATAGCCATTATGTAAAAATAATAAAATATTTCTAACACCTTAAATACATTTGGGTTTTCATATTTTAATTACATTATTATTTACAGAGAAGTTAAGAATATTTAAATAAAACTAAACAATTATTATCCTTCATTAAAACTAAAACTATTATTCATAAAAAATAAATAAATAAATAAATAAATAAATAAATATATATATATATAAATATTAGCTGAAAAACTTATTCAGTTAGATACCTAGGCAATGTTTCTAATTTTCGTTTAGTTTAATTTGAAGAATTAAAATTACTACCTGGAAATAAAAAAAAAACTGAACTAAAAATAAATTAAACACAAATATAAATATTTATTTTTTTAAAAACTAATAAAAATGATAAAAGCACATAAAAATATTACTAAAATGAAACTAAAAATTAAGCTAAAATTAAAATGAAAACAGAAAATGTAAAAACAAAAGCTAATTCAAAGTATTATTTAAAAAGTATACTTTGTAGCATTGTATGTAAAAGAGCAGCTCTGATGCTGTACAAAACATCTAATTTTGTGTTCAGTGAAGAAAGAAGAAAATAATACGAGGAATGTCAGAACAACATGAACATGAGTTTTTGTGCTAACTATTCCTTTAAAAGTGCTGAATCTGTGGCTGTGTGCATGTGCGCTCACCTGTTGGCTGTGCTGCATGGCTCGTGTGAAGTGTGCTGTTGTGCCCTGATTGCAGAGCATGCGTTGGTTTGCGGACCCCGGCGGCCCCTGGTCCAGACCCAGGGCTCAGAGCGAGGGCCGTGGCACCAGTGACATCATCAGCAGCTCGGCCAATCACAGACAGCCCAGACTGAGCACTGATCTCACTCACACGCGGCCGCACGCTGCTGTAAGTCAACACACGCATGTCGCATACTAGTTAGTACTACTAGGAAGGGCCCTCTTGAAACTGTCGATTACCACAGAAAATCATTTTTAACCTGTCCATTATGTTGTATGTTTCTTTTAAATATGATACCTTTTTAATTTTAAAATGTTTATTTAATTTTAAATCTAAAACATTGCATAACAGTAAAAAGTTTTCATATCTTAATCATTATTTACAGAGAAGTTGTTCAGCATATTTTAATTAAAAGTATAGTATTTTAAATAATTATTATAATTTATATAATATAGTTTATATAAAGTTTTATATATTTTAAATATATATATATATTTAATTTAAAACAAATATTTAACATTAAACATTACTATTAATAAAAGATACTGCAAATTAGTTTTTCAAGAACAAGGAATTTTAATAATGTTTATATATATATATATATATAATTTTTAAATTTGTAAAACATATGAATATATAATACTATTATAAAACATATATAAATAATAATAAAACATAGTACAAAATAC